GACGTTATTTTTATACATGTCATGTGAAGTGAAATTTGAAATGCTAAATTTTTCCCATCTTTTTTACCCCTTTTCCAAGTTGAATGATAACGATTTTTGGACTATATTTGTACTGATGGTCAGTGGCAAATTTTGTGAGTCGAAATTAGTATTGAATTGTCGTTTTGTGCATCTTACCGTGCATCGCACGGGGGAAAGACTAGTGTTTTATTAATTTTAAAGTTTAAAATTTTTGTTATCATATTAAGTTAAGTGGCATAATATTTATGAAAATAGAGTAAAAAAATTATATTACATTAATATTTTAAAAATTTAACATATTATTGAAAAAAAAATATTTTTTCTAATTTTAAACTATCTTGCTTTCGAAAAAATAAAAAAATTATTTTAAACTATCAATTTTACTAGCTCAATCCCAAATGCTAAATTAGCTTTATTAACCAATTACCAACTCAATAAGACAAGAAGTAGTCCAAAATGGAAAATCCAAATGGTTAAAGTGAAGATTGAAATGCAACCCCAATTCCCTGTTTTATCATTTCCGTCTTTCCCACCCTTTAACCTGCGAAAAACAGTCAAATATAAAAGAGAAAAAATTATATCGTCCATTTTTGTTACTTGTTCTGTAATAGTATAATATGCATCGTAATATCGTCATTTTAATGGTGCCAATTGTCCACATGTTAATTACTATTTTGTGGTTTTTTTTTTTGTTCTAGAAAGGTAAATTTTTGTTTTGAGGATAATTGATAAGTGATCACATTCAATTTTTTCACTTTTAGTTTGGCCTTTTGGATGAGTCACGTGATATGTGAGAAGACAAATGGACAATTATGACTCCTATTTAACATTATTGTATTTTTTATTCCTAAGTCTTTTACATTTCCGTTTGATTGGTAGTACACATGTTTAATATCTATTGAACAAGATTTGTTAGAACATATTGATTACAAAAGTTTAATTAGGGAGTTTACTTATAAAAATACGATAAGAATATTTCTATATGATTTGTTGCATTTCAAGTTTTACACGTTGTATTTGCTGTTTTTGTTGCACAAAGAAATTAGCAGCTTGGATGGTTTTTTGTTGAAGACATGAATTTTGATGAAGTTGGAAGGTACTTTTGAACTTTACTTGTACTTTCTTATTCACGACATATGAAAAAAACTAATATTTAAATATCATATTTTTATAATGAAATAATATTATTGGAATATATTTTTTAATTAAATGAAAGGGGTACCGTTTTACTTGTACTTTCTTATTCACGACGTGAGTTTTGTTTATTAGAAATTGACATATATTAATTCAGTATATGCTTAATTCATGTCTTGAGTTTGTTTAGCCCCTGTTTGATAACCATTAAAATAAAATTATTTTTTTCCTCAAATTTATTTTCAATCATACATTTTCACAAAAAAATATTTTACACATAAAATCAAAATTTTTTCCTATTTTTTAATTACACATTTTTCAAAAAATTACTATTTCGAAACTCATTTTAATGGTTGTTAAACAATAGTTTAGTGTGGAATTCTTTGAACACATTTGAGTACATAGCCACACTCAATTAGTTACTGGGTAAGAGTCCAAGAGACTCGATTTTTAAATAGTAATGCTATTTATCATCATGATGATATATCACGATGACGTG